CTAATGATGCATCTCAGGGTCTTATGAAAACAAGACCAATCCAAATCCAGAACTTGTAAGGAAGAAATTGTAAGTGTTAAACCAGAAATCAATGAAATGGAGACCAAAAGAAAAAAAAAGTATAAAGAACTAATGAATTGCAGAGCTGTTTTTTTTAAAGAATAAATAAACAAACGTTAGCCAACCTTACCAAGTAAAGGAAAGATAAAAATTAACGAAATTAGAAATGAAATCATAATGCATACTGCTGAGATTCAGATAGTTATTAGCAACTATATCACATACAAAAAATATATGTGTGTGTATATAGATGCCAAAAAATTAGAGAACTCAAAAGAAATGAAAAGATTCCTTTACACACATGAATCACCAAAACTGAACCAAGAAGACTTAAAAAAACTTCAGTGATCCAATAACAGTCAATGAAATGGAAGCATTAATTTAAAAAGTATCAACTAAGAAAGCCCAGGACCTGATGGATTCACAGCCAAATTCCAAGAGAACATCAGGGAAGATCCAATACCAGTATCTCTCAAGCTTTCAAATGAAATTGAGAGGGATGGAGTATTTCCAAAATCATTCTCAGAAGTTAACATTTTTCCAATCCCAAAACCAGACAAAGGTCCAACCATAAAAAGGAAATTACATGTCAATTTCTCTCATGAGTATAGATTCAAATATTCTTAACAAGACACTAGCAAACAAAATGCAAAACTCATCAAAAGATTATGCATCCTAAGTAGGTGTCATCCTTCAGGGACAGTTAGGAAGAAACAGACAGCATAGGCCACCACCTGGGTGGCCAAGCACAGAGAGAACCACATGCTTACCCAGACATGATGCACCGGAAGGGAGTGCCCTGTGGAGGACTTCTGCAAACTTTTTGCTATGTGCTCACAGTGCCTGTGATCTGTGGTTCACTCCAGAAACAGGCTAAGACCCTGATTCTACCAATCAGAGAAATAGTTATTTTTAGAAAATTAGCTTAACCCTGTAAGGATGCACAAGACAAAGATGCCATGCTGAGAGTCTCACCTGGACTTCTCCCTGCCTTCCTGCTCACTTGCGGTGTGACAGCCCCCCACTTCTGCAATATTATTAGTAAAACTTCTGTTTTGCTTCACTTTCATTAACTGAATTTCTCATTCCGTGCCAGAGAGACTTTTGGTCCCGAGTCAGTCTCACACCACCTCTTACATTCCTGCCAGAGTGCAGAGATGATCCAGGGAAGCAGAGATTCTCTTCACTGGAGAATGCCAGACCCCCAGACCTCCACCTGACTCAACAATCCCAGGGATGCAAGGATGGTTCAACAGTGCAAATGATGAAGGAAACTCATCTCATGATCATCTTAGTAGATGCAGAGAAAATCCTTTGATAGCATTCAGCACCCATTCATGATTTAAAAAAACCCAAATATAATAAAGTCTTTATTTCAACATGATTGGATTTATAACCAACCTACTGCCAACATCATATTAAATGGGGAAAAACTTAAAGCCTTCCTTCTAAAATCAAGAACAAGACAAAAATGTCCATTATCACCCCGCCCATTCAACACAGGCCTCAAAGTAATAAAGCAGAAGAAAGGAAAAAGGATGTATATAGAAAAGCAAAAAAATATATATATTATTTTCAGATGACATAATCCTTTACCTGCAAGCCCTAAACTCTACCAAGACTCCTAAACTGATAACCAAATTCAACAGTGTAGCAGAATACAAAGTAAACACATAAAAATCAACAGGATCCTGTAATAAATGAACTCACTAAAATAGAAATTAGGAAAGTAATACCACTCACAATAGCATAAAAAAATTAAATACTTAGGTATTTACCTAACTAAAAAAGTAAAAGATCTCTACAATGAAAATTACCCCAGACTGGAAAAGGCAATCAAAGAGGACATCAGAAAATGGGAAAATATCCTCTCTTCCTCATCAGGCAGAACGCCAAGGTAATTAAAATGGAAATACTTTCAAAACTGACAGACAGATTTAGTGCCATACCAGTCAGTAGCATTTCTCATAGAGCTAAAGCAAACAATCCTAAAATTTATAGAAAATGTGAAGAGATACAGAATAGTAAAAACAATCTTGGGTAACAAAAACAAACCAGAAGGCATCATAATCTCCAACTGACATTATACTACAAAGCTTGTGTGATTAATTTAACCAATAGCAAATGTGGAAAGGCTGGGGGGAGCCTTCTCTAGTATTGGTAGGAGTATAGACTGGTGCAATCACCATGGAAATCAGTATGGAGATTCCTCAATAAACTAGGACTAGAGGTCCCATTTTACCTAGGTATTCTCCTTCTGGGTATCTTCCTGGAAGAATTAAAAACAGCATATCACAGTGATACATATGCACCCATGTTTATAGCAGCACAGTTTGTAATAACTAAATCTTGGAAACAACCCAAATGCCCATCAACTGGGAAAGGGATAAAAATAGATGTGGTCTTTTTATGCAATGCAGTGCTACTCTTCCATAAAGAAGGATAAACTTGAGATAATTATAGATAAGTGGATGCAGCTTGAGACCATGTTCTTAAGTGGAATAAATCAGACTGACATATATAAACATCACATTGTCTCCCTGGTATGAGAAACTGAAAGAGCAAATAAGGACCAAAATGTACAATGCTGTGAAATGGGAAGAATGTTTTCAAAAGGAAAGAGGAACTAGGGTAGAGGGAGGGGGAAAGGAAGGAAGGGAAAAGGGAAAAATGATAAAAAGGATAAAATGGAGACAAGCTTTATAAATAAGGAGGGGAAAAGAGGGGGTTGGGAAAAAAGAAGAATCAAAATATATCATATACAGATACAAATTACCTAAGATGAATATGATCATTATGTACATCTAAAATGCACCAGTAAACTTAATTTTTAAAAACCCAGCATGGCTATAACACAAAAACAGGCATGTAGATCAGTGGAACAGAATAGAAGCAGCAAAAACAAACCCAGGCACATATTTGATTAAAGGAGCTAAAACCATATGCTGGAAGAAAGGTAACCTCTAATAAATGGTGCTGGGAAAATTGGATATTCCCATGACTCTAGATACATCTCTCTTACAATGTTGTAAACTAAAATCAAAACAGATCAAAGACCTAAATGTTAAAACAGAAACACTGGAAGAGAAATTAGGTACAGTTCTTAAAGACATAGGTATAGGCAAGACTTTCTGAACAGAACCCCAGTGGCACAGGAAGTTCTGAGATATGACAAGTGGTATCACATAAAATTAACAACTTCTGTACAGCAAAAGAAAAAGCCAGAAGAGTGAAGAGACAGTCTACAAAAGGAGAAAAAGAGTTTGCCAGCAACTCCACAGGGAGAGGACTGACATCAGGGATATATATAGAGAGAGGGAGAACTCAAAAAAAGTTAGACTCTCCAAATAAAAGACATGATTAAAAAATGGGCAAGTGGAATGAATAGACATTTCTCAGAAGCACACATGGCTAATAAATACATGAAAAAATTCTCATTAGTGCTGGCTATTACAGAGCTGCATATGAAAGCTACACTGAGATACACTCGCAACTATAGCAGCACAACTTATAACAGATCTTCAAACAGTCTATATGTCTACCATCAGATGAACGGACAAGGAAATGCATTTGCTTCAGGATTACATTGTCTGGTAAGACTAGTTTACATATTGTAAACTTAGAAGATTATATTTCTTACGTTATAATTTTATGACAGTGTTGGCGATCACTACTCAGCGGCTCTGAGCAGGATTTAAAATTAATTAATTGGCTTTCTATGTTTATCTGTGAGTCTGTCCAAGGCCTCAGCCCCTTGCCTGGCAACGGGAGCTGATTCATAGTAAGTGAACCTCTATGAATCACTGGTCCTGGCTGAGGCCTGTAGTGGCCTGTGAGGCCAGAGACACCTCAAAGGGCAAGATAAGGCCAGCTGTGGACACTTGGCTCAAACATCAATTAGGTAGATAGAGACTGCAGCTGCAGGATTTCTGCAGTCCCACTCCAACCATGTCTTCATGATAAGACAGTTTTACTAAATTGACTTGATTCATTACTTGGAGACGTCCTTAAAGTGACTCCCAAGGTCCTGCTCATTGCCTGCACTTTTCTCAGTTTCCCCACCCCTTGTTTTTGGACCACTTAAAAGTGCGCATCCAGAGAAGTCTTTATCTTAGCGCTCAGAGTCTTGAGCTCAACTAAAGGGCTTTGACCCTCCTGGAGCCCTAAAATCATACCACTTGCCTCATTTCATTTAAGCCTTTGCTATACACTCATTAGGGAGATGGGGGGGGAGGGGTCTAGGTCAGGATCCGATAATTTAGTAGATTATATATATATATCTTTTTTGTCTTTTTCCTTTTTATCGGTACCAGGGATCGAACTCACGACTGCCTGCTTTCACAGCAGGCGCTTATGCCGCTGAACTAAACCCCCAGCCCCGTAGATTATATTTCTTACATCATAATTGTATTACAATAGAAAGATCATGTATCTCTAATATCTTTAAGTTACTGTTCCTCCTATATTTTACTCAATCCTCACAGCACTAGAGGAAATAAAATACCTTGCCCATTCCGCAGAGGAGGGACTTATATTTTACCCAACGGGGAAAACGAGGTCACTAGCTCAACACCACAAGGGATGTGGCTAAAATCTCCTTCTGTTAAAACATTCAAGAAAGGGTTGCCTCAAGTGCATTTTTGACTCCTGAGATGAAAATCCTTTACAGACAAGACAGCATCTGTTTTCACAGTGAAGAGGAAGTAGAAGCCACTTGAGGGAAGTGGGGGGCAGGAGCCAGCATTTCACTTCCTCATTCTGATAGTGGATGCAAATGAGGGGGCAGTTTACAAAGCAGGCTCTCTGGGGGGGGGGCCTTTAAACAAATCAGAGATGGGGAGGCCAAAGAGCCACACCCCTAACTGAAGCCCCGCCCCCGACTCCCCTCCCTTCCCCCACCTTGCCTGCCTGTAACCCCAGCTCAGAAGCGGAATCACTGTGTGCATTTCCCACCCCAAGGAAGGAAGAATAATTAGCCTTCATGGACTCCACCTGCGGCGCTGCCACGTGGCATGAATTTGCTCATTTTCCAAGGTCAGGCCACAGCACAGTAGCAATTTGAAAATTCAGGTCTGGAACTTGAAACAGTAGCATTAGTAATCATAAACATGGAAGAAAACCATGAAGCCATGACACCTTCTGGAAGAGAGAAAAGTAGGTGAGTATTGCATCAAATTGCTACAGAGAGGTAAATGCTACATGATAATCTGGAAACCTCAGGGGATTTGGAATTTGAAGGGAACCAAAGTCGGCCTGTTTTACAGAGTGGTAGAGCTGGATGAATCACATGGACTTTGAAGTTAGCTGGTCTAGTTCGATTCTCCTGTTGCTGTGGGTTCTAAAGGAGCTTGCTGAGCTTCTTTCCTGATATGAATCTGATTGTTCTCATCTTCAAAAGAGCTTGGAACCTTGTTGCTCTGCAGTTCACTTTGGGGGAGCTCTGTTCCTTACTTTGAGCATCACTTCCTGACTCTGGAGGGGAAGATGTGTGCTATTCAGTCTCCCGGAGCAGCTTGTCATGCTGGCTTCCTGATACGAAGCCAATGGCTGTTCTCATTGTCAGAGGAGCATGGGACCTCATTGTCACTGAGGATGGCTGTGGTACTTTTTGGGGGAGCCCTGGCTTACTTTGAGCATTGCTTCCAGGCTCCAGTGCAGAACCCTCAATGTACTGACATAGAGCATTCATCCTGCTGGCATAGACTTCCTGGCTTCTATCACTGACCTTTGCACCTTCCCAGCACAGATCCATGAAATAGACTTGTATGAGTCATTGTCATGGGCTCTAGGTTTTCAACTAAGTCCATGCAGATTACCATGGGATCCAGGCCCTCAGCTGAATTTTCTAGGCTTCCTCTGCTTCTTGTATTTCACTCCTTGGGTGGCCATTATAAACAATATTATAAATTATGTGTCCTCTATTGTTTTGTTCTCCTTGCAAACCCTAACTACAACAGTAGGTGATGCCATTCTAGGTAGAATGAAAGAAGACCTCACTGAGAAGGTGACATGAGGCCTCATGGAAAGGGAGACCCCCAACTGGTACTGAGAGAAAAGGGAGCCCAGGTAGAGGGAAGAGTGATGGAGAAAATACTCGGTTTTTGGAGAAGAACAAACCAAAAATGCCTGATGAGAACATAAAATCAGAGGGATGGATATGGATCATGAGGTAGGAGAGAAAAAATACAAGAGACAAGGAAGCACACTAAAAATACAACATCCAGCACTTAGCCAAAGTCACCCAAGACAGCCCCGTGCCAACACTCCTTGGCCAGACCTACACCTCATCCCTACCAGGCTCATCATGAAAAGGCCATAAATTGGCTCAATGAATAAAATAAGCAACAGGACCTGGCCCTGTGAGAATGACAGCTCCAAATGTCAACAGTTCTTGGCTAGCTTTATACCCTTCTCCTACTAGAGAACATAAATTGGCCCAATTAAGAAAGTAAACAAGGAGTGATTCCCGACAATGTTTAAATCTCTCATCCAGATTAAGTTGTGCGTGTTGGAGATGTGAAAAACCTGGTGCCCTTCTGAGGTGTGTGTGCCAGGGGTGCTTTTACCCAACTCTTCCCCTGCTTGAGAAAAGTATAGGCTGGACCCATGCACCCAACCCATGTACCCAACAGGTAGGAGTCCCAAGACAGACTGAAGGATCAACCCACCCCACCGCGTCCCACACCAAGACTCACACACCCCACCTGGGAGGACCTAAGGACTAGCTGCAAGAGTGCATGCTGGGGGCTGCTCCTGGGATCTCCTCAGCACAGGGAAACCAAGGTAACAACCAACAGACCCACCTGACTGAAGAGGAGACCAGGAGGAGAGTTTTGCTTCAGGACTGAAGCATTATCCTACCCCAGAAACTGGGTGAGAAAAACTTGAGAAATAGGTGTAGAAAGGAGGAGAACTAAATAGAGATCTGCTGGGATCCCTTGGGAGACCTGGGATCAGATTAGCAAATTCACAAGGCCTGTATTCTATTGAGAGAACCCAGGCTCGGGATGAAATTGTCAAGTGGGGTGTTTCTGAAAAATATGGTACTCTTGGTAGTCTGATGATATCTTTGGCCTCTGATACTGCTGCCTACATTCAGCAGAAATAGTGGGCTGAAGTACAGTATTGTAGGTTAATATGTAGGTGACCTGTCTGCACTAAAATCACAGACTTCTTAACTCTGGTTAAGGGACATTCATGATTGTTTCCTAGGGTCTGACAATGTCCAGTTGTCATTTGATGCCATTAATGTCACTAAATTTACACTACCACCAAGGCATCATGGCAATGGATAATAATTAGTTCTCTCTCTATGCCAGTATCTGGAGTTCCTGGGGATCATAAACAATAAATACATATATATATATATATATATATATATATATATATATATATAGAGAGAGAGAGAGAGAGAGAGAGAGAGAGAGAGAGAATATCATGAGGAAACAAAGCAACAGAACCCCTCAAGGTCTCCCAACTGTCCTAAGTCAGAACAACACAAATGGAGAAGAAAAAAAATACCAGGTGGCTGAACTCCACAAAAAGTCTGCAGAAGCAGTGAAGAAACTTGATAAGTTCAAAGAGCAAAATGAACCAAAAATTCACAGCATTGTCCCTCAATACAACCAAACTGAATTTAGGGAAAATCAGTAGAAAATTGGACAAGCTGACCAAAATGATTCAAAGCATGAAAGCCAGATTCAACCAGAATATAGAATCCTTAAAAACATGTCAAGCAGAAATACTTGAGATTTAAAAAAATATATAGAATTCATAACTTGCAGAAATAACCAAGGCAGAGACAGTGTATCTAAAATGGTGGAAAAAATAGTAAATTATGAAGATATAGTCAAAGAAGCCACAAAAAAAGAGAATCAGAAAAGACTATCCAGCACCCGCCAGATGACACTGAGATGAATCTATGGCTGACTGGAGTTAGACAAAAGCTAGAAGATAATACAGATGGAATTATTAGTATGTTTAAAGAAATCATAGTAGAAAAATTTGAAATATAAAAAAATAGTTTAAAATAAAAGTGAGGCTTACAGAACAACCATGACAAAAGAAGCAGCTCACTAAGACGTATCTTTATTAAATTGCCAGACATCCAAAAACACAATTTGAAAATCAGTCAGATTAAAAAAAACACAGAAAAATTTCACATAAACAAATTATAATTACAATAGACTTCTTAATACAAACCTTAAAGTCAAAAGAGCTTGAGTGAAGTACTTCAAGGCCTAAAAGCAAATAACTTTCAACCCAGGTTAACTTATCCAACAAAGCTGTCTTTCAAAAATAGAGAAATAAGGCTATTTTATGAAGATCAGCAGCTCAAAAGATACATGAATGCTAAACCAGCACTTCAAAACATACTCAAGAATATCTTAGGCAGAAACAAAAAAATTATTACAGCTAAAAACCCAGATGAATGAAAACACCAAGTAAGATCAACAGATAAAACATCAAAAAATGACAGGAAAAGAAAACCAAAGTCATTTCCAACAGAGAAAGAATGCAATGATAGTACATAATCAACACATCTCAGTAATATCTCTCAACTCTCCAACTAAAAGACACAGATTGGCAGACTGGACCAAAAAAGCAGAATCCAACAGTCTGTTGTATTCAAGAAACTCATTTAACCCACAGAGATATTCATAGTCTAAAAACTGAAGGATAGAAACAATATATCATGTACTAGGAACCACAAAATAGACATAGCAATTTTAATTTCAGACATGGTAAACTTCGAGGTAAAACAGACTAGAAGAGACAAAGAAGTTCATTACACCCTGCTTGGAATGATTCAGTGAGAAAGGCTAACGAAGGCTGCATATTTATATACTGAATCCTAGGGCACTTATCTTCATAAAACAAATACTGCTGAACCTTAAAAAGAAATGAACACTAACACAATCATAACTTCAGTTAAGTTAGTCACGATACTTGTACAATTCACCAAAACTTCTGGACACTATAAAAAGCAGTCCTAAGATGAAAACTCATCACCAGTAATGGCTCACATTATGAAAACAGAGTAAGCTCAAATAAATAACTCTGTGAGGAACTGTAAGACACTTGAGAAGCAATAACAAGCCAGATTCAAAATAAAACTAAGGAGACAAGTTATAAACATTAGGGCAGAAATCAATTAAATTGAGACTAAAAAATGTTTAAAAAATCAAAGAGCAGTTCTTTCAAAGAAAGAAATAGATATACCCTTTCCCAGACTTACCAAGAGAAAGAAACAAAAAGACCCATGTCAATGCAATTAGAAATTTAAAAGGTGCAATCACAATAGACACTTGTCAAAATGCAGAAGATAGTAACTATTTTGAAAAAGTATATTCCAACAAATTGATAAAGTTTGATGAAATAAACAGATAGACTCATACAAATGACCATTCCCAAAAACAACTCAAAGGATACAAAATGCTGAACAGCCCAATCACAAGCAAGGAAATACAGACAATAAATAATAAACCTACCAAGCAGAAAAAAACATGTATTTTTCTGCTTAATTCTACAAAACCTTTAAGGATGCACTGATGCTTCTCAAGCTCTTCAAAGATACTGAAAGTGACTGAACGCTTCCAAATTCATTTATGGAAGCCAGCACCATCCTAATTCCAAAACAGAATAAAGACCCCACTAAAATCTCCCACATGAACACAGATGTAAAAATCCTCAACAAGACATTAGTGAAAAGAACTCCCATCATAAAAAAAGATCATATATCATGATCAAGTAGGTTTCATCCCAGAGATGTAAGGATTATTCAACACACATAAATGAATAAATGTAATAAATAACATAAACAGAAGCAAGGTCAAAAGCCACATGATTGATGCCGAAAAAGACTTCTGAAAAATCCAATACCCCTTCATGATACAAACCCTGAAGAAAATAGGCACAGATAAAAAGTTGTCTATGACAAATGAACAGGCAACATCATTATTAAATGGGGGAAAACTAAAAGCATCCTCCCTAAAATCAGGAACAAGACAAGGACACCCTTCTATTCAACATAATACTTGAAACATTAGCCAAAGCAATCAAAAAAGAGAAAGAAATAAAAGGAACACATATAGGGGAAGAAGAACTCAAATTATCATTATCTTCAGATTGCCTGATAATCGGTGTAGAATACCCTGA